TCCATGGGTGCCCCATCACCCCTCCACCCCTGGGTCCCTCCATGGGCACCCCATTCCCCCTCCACCCCCACGTCCCTCCATGGGTGCCCCATCCCCCCTCCACTACTGGGTCCCTCCATGGGCACCCCATCCCCCCTCCACCCCCAAATCCCTCCATGGGCACCCTGTCCCCCCCGCCCCCGGTTCCCTCCATGGGTGCCCCGTCTCCCCCGCCCCCAGTTCCCTCCATGGGCGCCCCATCCCCCCTCCACCTCCAGGTCCCTCCATGGGCACCCTATCCCCCCCGCCCCTGGGTCCCTCCATGGGCACTCTGTCCCCTTGTCTCCTTCCCTGGGGATCCCTCAGCAGCTTGATCAGGACGCTGGGCCTGAGCAGCCACATTGCCCACACAGTCACCGTCACCGTGGGCCGCTCCTACCTGGTCAGGCTCCCCGTCCAGCCCTGCTCCCCACCAAGGGAAGCGCCCCTAACTGCAGACCTAGACCCAGGACAGCCATACTGAGGTCCCTCCACCCAAGCTCTCGGCCCACAGACGCTGCTACAAGCCCAGAGCAAAGTGGGTCCTGGGTGCTGAGAGGAGAGTGAGCAGCCTCAGACCCAAACATCCAGACCTGCAGGTCCTGGTGGGCCTCAGGGCTCCGAATGCTACCAACACACGCACGTGTGCACGCAGCGGCCTCACAGGGACAGCACCGGGGAGCAACGAGCCCTTCTCTGATCAGCAGGGAGCCTTCCTCCCGGCCTGAGGGCAGGAGGCAGCCCGGACACCAGCAGCTCAGAGATCGCAGGTCCCGCCACCCGCAGTCCGAGAGCACAGGCTCCAGGGGCCAGGAACACAGGAGGATCCAGGGAGGGTCCTGAGGCGGCAGCGAGGGACAGCCTGCCGCCCCCTCGGCCCAAACATCGGGGAGCAGAGGGTGGGAGCTTCAGGGGCACGGTCCCAGGCTGGGCAGGGGTCCTGGCCCTTGTCGCTGACCCACGTTCTGCAACCCCGACCCCCCCAGACGAAGCCCAGGCTGGTTCACTTTCTGGGCCGTCTCTGAGGCCGATCAGCGTCACGAAGCTGGAGGGCCCCGGGTCCCATATCCTTCAGGTAAGAACGCGGCAACGTGAACACGGGAATGATGTGTGGGGTGCGCAACATGTGCCTGTGTGTGTACGTGGGGGGGTGTGAAGTTGGACAAGTGTGAGGACCTGCGCGTGAAGCGTGAGGGCATGGATGTGTCTGCAGGACCTTGGAGAGGGGACAGGAGACGGGCATCGCCCAAGAACAATTGCCTCTGGGCAGGCGACTGGGCAGCTCCCACAGCAGGTGGGGGCAGTGGCAAGCAGACGTGTCCCCAAGGATGTCGCTCTGGTCTGAGCCAGGCACAGCACCCACATCCACTCGTGTGATCCCTGCTCCCCGCTGCGTCCCAGGAATCCCCAAACAGAAACCCGATCAGACCACTCTGCTAAAAAGGCTGGCAGAATGGTGGAAAGGGAGGTGGGCGGGGGGTGGGGTGACTGGGTGATGGGCACTGAGGGGGGCACTTGATGGGATGGGCACTGGGTGTTATGCTATATGTTGGCAATTTGAACTCCAATAAAATATAACAAAAATAAATAAAAATAAATTTAAAAATAAAAATAAATAAAAAGGCTGGCAGGGCCTCGACACGGCTTTCCAAAGAATCAGAAGATGCTTCACGTGCCCTGCAGCCCTCACCTGCCCTTTCTGGCTCGCCCACCCCCTGGGCTGAGCCTGACCCCAGGCCCCGAAGGCTGCCCTGGGCCTCATCCGTCCAGCCTGGAGCACATGGGCCTCAGGAAGCCACCCTGAGCCCTCTGCCCGCCCCGTCCCCTTCACGCACCTCTGAAGGTCACAGGCTCCCAGGCACAGACCAGCGTCCCGCCACAGACAGTAAGTTCCAAGAGGGCAGGGGGTCTCGTTCCCACTGGGCCCCCAGCCCCTAGCCCGAGGCCTGGCACCCAAGGTGGGTCACAGAGCTTCCCAGAGAAGGCGGCACAACCAGGACAAGTACTGAGTCGTCACAGCTGTCTGCCCAGCCTGTCCCCTGCGCCCCCACCAGGTCCCCAGGTGGGGCCAGACTCCAGCCCTCACAGTCCCTGGGGCTTGTGGCGGCAGGACCCATACCTGGCACCTGCTGGGGCAGCAAGAAACAGTCCCTAGGCCTGCCCCTAGCAGGTGCAAGCCCTGGCCTGAGACCAGGATGTGTCCCCTCAGTGTGCGGGCCGCCTGCCCAATTCCTACTGCCCTGGCCCGGGGCCATTCCCGGGCTGCTTCAGGTCAGGGCCAGCTGCCCTGGAGGGAGGACAGCAGACCAGATCCTGGGGAGGGGACCCGAGGACCAACAGGGCAGATGTGGGAGTGTCGCCTGTGAGGAATCAGGTGTCCCGGTGGGATGCCCGCTGGACACGGCCCTGGAAGCCCAGAGGACACCCCGACACCTCCCGGGCCTCGGGGAGCGTCAGGGCTGCGAGTATGCAGTGATGGGAGGCTGAGCCCTGCCCAGCGACCGGAGGCCTAGGGAAAGGGGGTAGAGACCAAGGAGGCTGCCTGTGGGCTCCTTCCTCAGCTCCTCAGAGGCAGAGAACCGCACTCCCCGCCCCAAACTGCCCCAGAGCCAGGAGGACCCCCCCCCCCCGCCTCCCTCCCCCTTCCAGCCCCCACCCAGAAGCACCTGTCCCCCGAGGCAGGTGGAGGCACCAGCAGGTGGGCCAACAAGGTGAGGAGGCCCAGGGAGATGGGGCAGGAGGACTGACGTCCCTGCGGCGGGAGGGGCCTGGCTGGTAAAGCGCTCGGCTGCGCAGGGCAACAGGGGCGGGCATGTGGGGGGAGGGGAGGGGAGGCAGTGCAGGGGCGGGGGGACCTAGAGGAGGCAGGGGGAGGGGTCCCGAGGCAAGGAGAGGGGCCCGGGAAGGGGGCGGGGGGCGGGGTACCTAGAGGAGGCAGGGGTAGGGCCCGGGGTGGGGCGGGGACCTAGAGGAGGCAGGGGAGGGGCCAGGGCCTCCTACAGCCTCCTGAGGGCCTCCAGCTGACGCCTGCGAGGACTCTGCTTACCCCAAACCAGATCTTGAGGAATTTGGGGCTGTGGGCATGTGACTGCACCACGGGGTAGCAGGGAGGCTGCGGAGCAGCAGAGGAGGACCCGCTTGGCACATGTGGCTCCCACCTTCCCCCCTGGCGTCCAGGCCAATCTGCAGGCTGCACCCCAGGCCCCCCACCACATGTGTGTCTGCGCCCATCCCGTCCGTCTGCCCACATCGCCACCACCAGTAGTGACGCCTGGACTTGGACGGGAACGTTCTAAGGAAGCCAAGAGAACTGGGAAGTGGCAGGAGACTCTGCATATGTGCTTTCCCAGCAGGTTTCCACCTGCCCAGCAGCTCTGCAGGTAGGGAAACCGAGGCTCTGTGCGGGAAAGTGTGCCTTGCCCAGTGAGCCACCGCCTCGGGGGACAGGCTCCCTGCCTGGAGGATACAGGGGCTCGTCTTCTCCTGGGGGCAGAGCTCCTTGTGCCCGAGGCACCTTCACAGACTCCAGCCTCTCCCTTAATTGTCTAGAAGGAATGACCAGAAACTGTATAAAAACTGCCCCCCCCGAAAAACCCAACAGTGCGGCCTTTCATTGAACCAGCTGAACCTCTGGTACACCAGAACCCAGAGCAGCCCCGGCCCTGGGCCTGCCTGGCCAGGTCGGCTCAGGCTCCCCCCACCTGGAGCCCACCTGGAGCCCACCTGGCTGCGGGCTACCACGTCCCAGTCCGGGAGGGGAGGCTGTCCTGCTGGGGGCTCCCCTTGTCAGCCGAGACGGAGGGGTACAGTGGCACCCCCGAAGGACAGCCAGTGAGGCTACAGGCCACCGACAAGAGGCAAGCAAGCAGGGGGCCTGCTGTAGAACCCTCCAGAACAGAACCCCCCTCCCCTCCCTCAGGCCCTCTTCCCCATTTTCTCCACCTCACCTCTGACTTGGCCTACACCCCTACTATCTCCCTCCATCCTCCCACCTCCACAGCTCCCTTCCCCCGACCGTCCCCCCCAGCCTCCAGCACATGTTGGCCTCTGTGGGCCCCAAATTGCTCCTCCAGCGGGAGTCTACCCTGTGCATCCACGGCCCCTCTGACCATGTGCGCCCGTGGCATCACCATCCTGGTCCCCTCACCTCTCCCTTCTTCTTCCCAGCTCTTGCCTTGTGCAGCCTCCCCTCCTTCCCTCATCTCCCCCATCCCCTCTATCTGCCCCCCCCATCCTCCTGCCACAAAGCTGCTGCTGCTGGGGGCAGAAACCAGGCCCTTCCTAAGGTCCCTCCAAGCTCCAGTGGGCCGGGTGGAGCTCCACCGCCCAGACAGGCTCCGGGAGCCCCACAGCGCAAAGACCTCTGTCTCGGTCCGGAGTCCCCGGCTTGGGAGGAGCCCCTGGGGAGCGGCCCTGCTGGCCCACCTGGAAGGCAGCCCCGGTCAGGTCCCAGCAGGGTGGGGGCAGCAGGGACCGGAGCCCTGCTCGACCTTGGCAAACCCGTTTTCCTACCCGGGAGAGAGGTCCACCACGAGCACGAGAGAGAGTGGAGGGGACCCGAGTCCTCGTGGCCGCCCCGCATCCCCGGGGTGCCGCAGGCTGGGAGGGGGGCTGTGCTCGCCCCCCCCCGAGGTCCGGCACACTGGAGTGCACCCCGAGCCCGCGCCCACTTTCGTCCGCCTCCTCCCCCCGCGGGAGGGATGCGCGGCGCCAGGAGCGCCGACCTGGGCTCCCCAGCTGCCTGACCTCGGGTCAGTTCCCGGTCGCGCGGTCCCGGGTCCCCAGCCCGCAGGTCCCCAGGGCCGCGCTGAGCCCCGCAGGTCGGGCAAGCGCGGGCCCCGCAGCCCCGCCGCGTCCTCGGCGCCCAGCGACCTTGAGCGGCCCCTCCCCCTCCGGGCCCACCCGAACCCCGCGCGCCGCGTCCCGGGTGGGTGCCTCCGCGCAGCTGAGCCGGGCGGCGAGGGCGCGCCCCGGGCACTCACCGTCCTCCAGAGGCGCGGGCGTTTGGCGGGCGCCAGGGTGGCGGTGATGAGCAGGTGCGGTGCGAGGCGGCCACCGCGAGCCCGAAGCCGACGGCCAGCAGGCTGCGCACGGGCAGCAGGGCGTAGGACGCGAAGGTGACCAGCAGCAGCTGCCACACGCCCTGGTCGGCGGCCGCCGCGCCCGCAGCCGCGCGGGCCGGGGTCCCCGCGGGTTGGCCGAGCGCCAAGGGGCAGCAGGGCAGCGCCAAGGTGAGGCTGAAGAGCAGCGCCAGCTGGCGGACCTGCCGCACCTGCGGGCCCCGCGGCGAGCGCACGTGGGTGACCACGAGCAGCGCCAGGAAGAGCGCGCAGTGCGCGGGGGGCGAGCCCCGGCGCGCCCAGCAGCTCGGCCACACCGCCAGCGCCTTCAGCGTGGCCGCCTGCTCCCGCCGCAGCGTGTAGCCGCGGAACAGCGCCTCCAGCTCGGGGCACGCGAACGCCTCGCCGCACCCCCGCAGCCCGCGCCGCCGCAGCCGCAGCCGCCGCCTCCGCCGCCTCCGCCTCCTCCGCCGCCTCGGCCGAGCGGCGCCCCCGCCATCTCAGCGCCAGGCGGCTGGACCGGGGCCGGGGGCGGGAGGCGCAGGGCGCGGCGAGCACACTCGGGGCGCAGGCTGCCCCGCGCGCGCCCCGAGCGCTTCCCCTCCCGCCGCCGCGCCTGCGCACTGCGCCGCCCGCCCGCCCGCGGTCCCCCCCCCCCCGTCCCCCCGCGGCCGCCGCCGCAGCCTCAGTTTCCCCGCCGGCGCGCTCCGCCTCCCGCAGCGCGGAGCACCCTGCGGGCGCGAGGAGGCGGGCCGCACCCCTCCGACCGCGGGACCTGGCGCCCCGGCCCTGCGCACCCCGGCAGCGAGCGCGGGAGGCCTCCGGGCTGCAGGACCCACCGGCCGGCCCAGGACGGACCAGAGTCCCGGGAGGAGGGGCCCTGCGGCCTGCCCTCCGCACCTGGAACCCGGGGACGCCGCGCTGTCTGGGTGTCCACGGGGGCCGCCTGTGGGCTCACACCGGGGAGGGGCCGAGCGGCTGCCCCGCGCCCCGAGGAGGAGGATGGCCCCGGCAAAGCCGCAGACCCGCTGTCCCCCCTCTGCTCGCTGTCCCCCTCCCCACGCACAGGCGGGACTGAGGGTCCCCAGAGTCCCGGGAGGCAGCAGCAAGGCCCTCCCGGGTGCCTTCGGGCCCCAGGACGCACCTGAGCCACCCAGGCCTGGGTCTGTCTCGCAGGCACCAGGGAATTGCCGCCGCCGCCGTTCCCCTCCCTGGAGCCCCAGCCGCTCTTCTGTGGGCTCCAGGTCTAGAGTGTGGGAAACCGCATCATTTGGGCCACGTCAAGGGGCCGCTTTCCACGCGGCACAACACGGGCAACACTCGTCAGCCCCGGGGGCTGTAGACGCGGCACCTCACCGTCTTCCTGGCCAGGAGCACCCGCTGTGCCATCCCCAGCAGCTCACGTCACCTCACCTCGCCTGGTGGCCACCGGCCCCTCCTCCTGCACAGACCTCCCCACGCGCAGCCCTCCTGGCTCCACGGTTCCCTGTCCCCCAGTGCCCAGGGCTCTTTCTGGCAGCCCCTGGGGCAGGGGGACTGGAATTTGCCGGCCCTCCCTGTTTTCAGAAGACAGGACGACGTGTTCCTCACCTATGCCCACCTGTGCCCACCAGTAGCAAAGTCCACACGGTCTCTCAAGCATGGAGGACCAAGAGTGGGCTCTCTGGCTAAACGTGTATTTTTACGTCCTAATAATATTATGGAAGGAAAGCTGAGTAATGTCCAAAAATCTGGCAAGCCATCCAAGAACGAAGGAATGACCAATGCCCTGGGACCCAGGTCACAGCACCCTCCCCTGTCAGCAGCACAGTCATGAGCAGGATCTGCGTCCATCTCCTTCACCGAGACACAGAGACGGAGGCACCAGGCCCCCGTGGGAGCCCCCGACGGTACCCAGGTGGGGGGACAGGGTGGGTGCCGTGGGCCAGGGGCTGCGGGTGCACTCATCCTCTCTGGTCCTGTCCGCTGGGCAGTCTGCAGCCAGGGAGGAGGACGGGCACACTGTCTGAGACACACCGCGGGGCCCACACCCCGTGCTCCTGCATATGTCATCAGTTAAATCGTGTCTCCCCCCCCCCTCCAAAAATCCACATGCTGAGCTCCTAACCCCGAGTAGCTCAGAACATGACCCTCTCTGGGACTAAGGTCACGCAGATGTCCTTGAGATGAAGCCACCCTGGGATAGAGTGGGTCCTAATCCAACAGGACTGCTGTCTTTGCACAAAGGGGACATCAGGAGACAGACACGCACACACTCGGAGAAACAAGGCGGTGACCCTGCGGCAAACAGGAGCCACGGGAAGGTGGGAGGTTCCTCCCCCAGGGAACTTGGCCCTGAGACTCCCATCCCAGCCTTCCAGCCCCCACGGCTACGGGAACAGGTGTCCACACCCCTGCTCTCAGAGCTGCGTGAGGGCGACCCTGGCCACGAGCACCCCAGCACGCGGTGGGCCCTGGATACCGTTGTCCACGACGGATCGTCAATATTGACCAACAGCAGAGTGGCTGCTGCACAGACCGGGACGAGACATTCTGCTCTTCCAGGAGGCACCTCGTCCCTTTCCCCACGGGACGTGAGCAGAGGGACGGGAGCCATCGTGGTCATCCTGTGTCCCCCAGTCCCGGAGCATGCCACCGGGCATTGCCAGCACCTCGTTAGAGACGGAAACGCAGACCTCCTGGAGCAGGAGCACAGCCGGGCGTTCCTCGGACCTGTCATCGATCCCAAATCTCAGGCTTTGCCTTTGAGGCTCAGCTGAGGGCTTGTCCGACCGAGAAACCCCGGAACTCTATGGGACAGCGGTGGGCGTCGTACGGCAGGGCTGCGGCCTCGCCAGCAGCGTGTGGTGTCCAGGCCAAGAGCGCAGACGTGTGCCTCCTCCCCCAGCTGCGTGACTCTGCACAGGTTAGTCTCCCTCTCCGTGCCCCATCTCCTCGGCGAATTGGGGATGTAAAAGCTCCCAGCCCGCGGGGTTACCCCCAGTGCACGCAGAGGCTGCACAGAGCATGCAGGAGCGCCAGCTGGTCAGTGTTCTGGGCGCACAGGACCCTGTGACCACCAGGCCCTGCACACGGTGGCCATAGCAGCCAGGGAGATCGCCGTAAGCCGGCTTCTGTCTGGGGCACTCGCCAAGTTCCTGGGGCCTCTGCCAGAGACTCGGCCTCCCGGCAAGTGTTCCTCCTGGGGTGGATCTGGGAATGAAGTTTCCCCGTGGGTCTTTTGGAAACCCTGTGGAAATGCAGGCCTCTAGGGGACCAGGCGGGTGGTCCTCACCAGGGAAGTGGCTCAGGAATGCTCATTTTGCCAAGACTGTGTCCAGGGATCAAAGGGCCCCGCCACGGGCTCCGTTAGCCGTAGAAACCCGGACACGGGGCTCAGCTTCCTCCTGTCCCTGGTGCCTGAACAGGCACCTTCCCGGATATGTCCCGGTGGCTGGTTGCCGGAGGCGAGGGAGCCCAGGAACGCAGTGTGGACGGAGACTGGAAACGGCCACAGGGATCCAACCAGGGTTCCTCCAGCAGGAATGGGCAAGGACTCCATCCGGAAGCTGGAGGCGGCCAGGACGGACCGAGGACCATGCCAGGCGGCCACTGGCCACACACCCCCCACCCAAGGCAGGACGCTGACCCGTCTGGCTGAGGCCCCCCAGGGCGCAGGCGGCCGACAAGGAGAGCGAGCGGGTCCTCCAGCCAAACCAGGGGCCACAGCTGGACGGGCAGGTGGGTGGTCGCTGAGCCACACAGCAGAGCGGCAGGACAGGACCCACTAATGTCCCCCTTCACCCATCGCTGTCCCCATACCTCAATGGCCAGGAGGACCACCTGGGGCCTCACAGCTGGCTCTGCCCCTTCCCTGCACGGGGCCCTGGGCTCGCGGGGTCCCAGGGACTTGGCGTCCTTGCCGCCGTGCCAGGGGGTCGGGCCAGCCCAGAGTGCCAGGCTCCAGACGACGTCAGACTGCATGCCCGGTCTGTAGGGACACCCAACCGGCGGGAGGAGTTGGTGTCATGGGCACGGGGGCCTTTTGCTTGTCACTAGGCTTCGGCCCTAAGCAGAACAGGACTGCTGGCCAGTGGGAGCAGCCGGGGCCAGCCCAGTGACCCCACAAATAAATACGTATGTGCTCAAAACTGTGGCCAGGGCTCCCACAGAAAGCAGCCACAGCGCATGACCTCTGGCCAGCCCTGGGGGGGGACAGAGTGCGGCCCGGCTGTACCATCGTGACCGTGCCCGGGCCCCCAGCAGGGTGAGCAACCGGAGGCGGTGGATGGAACTGGTACCCTGAGCTCTGGAGGACCAGAACTCTGGTGCCCAGACAACAACCCCAGACCTGGGGCTGCTGGAACTGACCTCTTCTCTCCAGAGCCAGGGGTCCTGCGAGGTCTGTGTCCTCCTGGGGGGGCAAGTGGCCTCAAATGAGTGGACGCTGGCCCCGGGCCGGGCAGAAGGGTCTCTCTGAGCCCAGGACTGAGGCCGCGGTGGAGGTCAGTAAGGCAGGGTGGGAGGTTCCTGAGGACCCTAGGACGCTGGACGACAGCCGCAAGTGAGGGGACAGTCTAATGGCCCCTGGCAGAGGTGGGGTGGACGCTCTAGGTGACAGGCGGCCCCTTCGAGCCCATCTACGTCCACTCAGGAGTTCGAAGGGAGAGCCCTCCTCCGAGATGTGACCTCCCCTCCTTCAAGAGGCCAAAGTGTGTCCCCTCTGGCTCCTCTAGACTGCAGCTGCATTCTACTAAACCCGAAAGATGCCACATCCCGGGCAGGCACTTTCCCAAGGAGGACGGGACCCCCGACCTGGCAGTGGACATGAGGGGACGCGTGTCCCCCGCATGCAGTGGCTCCGCCCGTGCCAGGCTCCCAGGGCCCGGGTGGGTTTTCACTTATTCCTAGTGATCCCGGGGAAGACAAAGGACGTGACAGCTGGCGCTACTATTTGCCACGTGTGCCTTGGACCCGGGTGTGGCTTCAAGGGGCAGCGGTCCTCGGGGGCTGTGCCCCGGATGCCGGGAGGTACAGGGCAGGGGCGGTCAGGGGAGTCGGTCTTGCCCTGAGCATCGTCCCAGAGCACAGGTAGGACATGGAGGCAGCTCAGACGCAGCTCCAGCATCCGTTGGTTGACGTAGAACCAGTGGCCACGGTCCTCTCAGGAAGGACAGTGCGTGGTCCTCCTGGGAATCGGCTGGGCCGGGGGCCGCCCCTGAAAGCCTGCTCTGTCCCCAGGCCAGGCCGGGGCAGCAGACTGGAAACTGTCAGAGGTCAGGAACGAGGCCGAAGCTGATAGAGACGGTGAGCGGGGACCGACGGTCCTCTCCAGGGCTCCTGGGGACAGCGGGAGGCAGAGCCTTCTGGAAGACGCCTGAGGGAGGCCTCAGTGACAGATCGCTAAGGAGGAGAGTCTGGGGAAACGGGGCCTTTGCTCCCTCTCCCTGACCCCTACCGTTCGGGACACATGGCTCTGGCCTTCCTGGTTGGGTCCCGTGATGACCCGATGAGCCCAGA